TTTGCTGGTTGGTACATTTTGAGAAGATGAACCTTTGGAGATTCCAGATTTCCTAGCATTTTTGGAATCTTGTTTACTGGGAGACATTGTTGCAGATTTGAAGAACTGATGAAAATTTCAAGAAGGAATGAGAGCATAAATTAGAGAGTATGAGGATTTATGGGTTTGCAAAAGTAGAAAAATAAATAATAAAAGAGATAACTTTTTTATAGTGGTAAGTGGAAAAGTTGGAGGTTACACCTCAGAAAGTTAGTGGGGCACATGTCAATATCTGATGAAGAAAAGTGAAATATCACTATTCATGTTCTTGGGAGTTGGTATATAATCATGGTGAAACTGCTGCACGCATGTCTTGATGAGGAATTTTGGAAAAGAAGTCATGATTATCTGTGACGTCAGGAATTGAAGGAAAATGAAAGGTTGCTAGTCGAAATCTGGTGATTATAATAAATGTCCATTTTTGCATTGATTCAAAATAGACATTTATTGGGGGCAATTTGTTAGATGAAGATTTCAACATTTTATTAAAATATGAAAGTTGATTTGAGAAGATTATGTTTTAAAAGATAACATGAAATTTGACCTTATAAGGTTATTTTATAAAGCTTATTTTTTAGTTCGATATGTCGAAGGGCAACTCAAAGTCAAAAGAGTATTTCAAGATATGTGAAGGTTACTTTGTTAGTCATGTTGGTTGAATTTGAAAAGCTTCGAGCGGGAAGAGTTTAAATTTCAAACTGGTGTGTTTTCGGCAGGAGGATGCGTGGAAGCACCAGAATGTATGCGTTTGAAAATGTCGAACGTGGCATAATCTCATAGAAAGACTCTTAGGGTCGAATCGGTATAAATAGGAGTCTTATATGTTAGGATTTATGGTGTTCACATTTATACAAATCACTCATATACTCAAACTACTAGAGTAAGAGAAACGATTTTGTTAATAATGTATGTGTAAGAACACCATCATTCTATTTAAAGTCATTTTCTTATTACAATTATTTTAATTTCTTTCCTTATTACTTTTTGTTTCCAGTCAAGCCCTTTTAACAAATTTTGTCGAACTTCCTTTATCAGCATTTTTCTTTACATTTTTATAAACATGCAGATCATTTCCTTTAAAGTTATATTTAGGATTCATAGCCATATTTTAAACATCTTCAAATAACCATAATCACGTAGAAAGACCTTATTATTATGTCAAACTTTAAGTCAAATTAAAACAACACTAAGACATATGTCCTAGGATCAATCTAGTCAATCCTGTAAGTTACCAAAACGTAGAGTTTGGAAGACTAGCGGTTGTTTGTCAGAAATCACTGGTAAACACCGCCTAGATTACCATTTAGATTTTGACCACCTATATTACCATTTAGATTCTGACCACCTGGATTACCATTTAGATTTTGACCACCTGGATTACCATTCAAATTGTTAATAACGAGTCCTTGATGAGTGATGAGCATAGTCTCATTCCCGCTATCTGCTGTTGCAGCGACCTCACAATTAGGGATCTCATTTCTTCTTGCTGACGAGCCATATTCTGGATTATCTTCATTAGTTGTTCGACACGAGTGTCCATCTTGACACCCATAGAAGCAACATCTTCCTGAATCTGTTCCATCTGTCTTCCCTATTTTTGATGTCTTTGTCGATAAGTTTACGGCTGTAGCACATACTGAACTGGCTGAGCATAAGGATGATACTGATTATGATTAACCATCTATTTCTCATGATTTGGAAAAGGCAGTGACTCCTGGAGAGGAAGCTTTAGGAGTACAAGTTATGGACGGTGTAATCCGGGACACAGGGTAGAGCTTAAAGAAAGAAGGTGTAACCATCTTCCCTGCAACAGTTGGGGTAGGCTTGATTCGTATGATTAGACCTTTAGGAGTAAACAAAAGTATCGCCGCATCGAGAAAATCTCGGACTTTGTGTTTCCACACCTTATAGTTCTCAACATAATGACCAGGTGCCCCATAATGGAACTCACACCTAGCATTTCGATCATAGTCAGGTGGAAGCTTTCCAGGAGGAAAACCCATAGTACGAAGCTCAACCAACTGATGTTCAAGTAATCGTGGGAGTAATTATGGCATAAGGTATTGGAATGGGATCAAATTTCTTATCAGGTTGCTTCTGCCTTTGTTGATTAGCCTTTCCCTTTGGATTCTCTTAGGGAACAATATCTGGTTTTAGACGGGACGACCCCAAAACATAAGGAGATCCATGAAGACTTAATGGAGCCTCTAAAATATGCGGAAGAACGGAAACTCCTATTGCAGCAACATGTGTATGATTGTCCTCTTTCTTCAACCTTGTTCTCAGCACTTCCATAACCAAACTCAACTGAGTCTTGAATTGAGTATTCTCCTCTCTCAGGAGTTCCTAACCACAGACCAAAACTTGTATGTCTACCATAAACAGACCCATCTGTCCTTTTATCTCATCTAATTCCCCACGAAGTTGTTCCATAACTTGTCAAAAATTGGAGTTGAAAATAAAATACCAGGTTTAAATAAGAATCCCCCACTCCGAGTACCTGATATGGATGCATGAGGTGTATGAGTAGATGTAATTCCATGTCCAATCATTTCCGAGGAACCCTCAAGCTTTGATTTTTAGCAAGTAAGAGATGTAAGAGCACAACACAAGGCTCACAAGCATGGTTCCTTGGAAATGGAAAGAACGTGTATTATGGTGATACAATCATGTTGTGGCATGCAAAGGCATGGGATCAAGGTTTCCAACAACACTTGACAACTACTGAACTACTGAATATCTAGATTCCATAAGATCAAAGGTTCAACACCAATATCAAAACTTAAAGAACCAAGCATGAATAACACAATATCAAAAGTCTGGAATCAATCTCGGAACACCGGAGAACCAAGTAACAAATAAGTCACCAACAGTACCTGCAAGATCAATCCATCCCCGTTCACAGGTGAAGTCTAGGTCTGGGTAAGGTCAAGGGGTAACTCAGAATCATGGGTTCGCATGGAAGTACTATCATCACAACAACAAATATGTATGATTATAATACCCTATTTGAACCTCAACTGAGCATGGTACACATGATTGCACTAGTAGGACCTCATCCAGTAGCCGTCATGTCTCCACTCTAGTCCTAGTGTTCCTAGTGGTTTACAACTCATATTCTGGGTACTGGGCCTTTTACCTCATAGTATTATCCCATCCCAACAAAGAAACAACACAACATCGATATCCATAGTATAGGAAACCATGACATAAGATGCAATGCATGAAATCAAATAAACAAATGAAGCAATAAAGCAATAAACAAACAAAACACCCAAATAACTAAAAACAAACTAAAGCTAAGACTAACTTGCATATGATGGACCAAAAATTGGTTAATTTATCACCAGCAGAGTCGCCAGCTGTCGCATATGGGATTTTCATTAAAGCGCGAACGGATGCGGAAAGAAGAGTCGCCATCAATGTTATTTATCCCAAGAGAGGGAAAGGAGACATTGAGTAAACCTAAAGGGAAGGAATAAACATCGACTTACGACTAATAGAAAGGGTAAACAAGTCGGTTATGCAAGGGGAAGGTATTAATACCCCTCACATCCGTGGTACTCCACGAGATTCACTTAAGTTGTTCTAATATAAGGGTGTATAAAATCTATGTCTAAAGCTTAGTGCTAAAAGGGAATGCATGCAAAGTATATACAAAAAGAAAGTTTTTATTAGTTGTGCCCGCCGCGGTTGCGAATCTTTAGTGCCTATGTACCACCCTTCGTGCAATGGGGGATCAAGGCACTCGTAGTTTTCCTCAAAATTTTTGGTTAGTTGCATGTTTTTTATGAACGGTGTTATCGAAACATGTCCTTTTTGAAAAGGTTTTAAAAGAAAGTCTGAAGACAAAAGGATTTGAGATTTGAACCACACTAAAGACTAAGAATGAAAGAATGATAAGATCAAGAAGGAACATGCTTATCATTTCCATCGCTTAACGAAACTGTAATTCTCATCATTTTTTATTAAGTCTTTTGAAGATTTTGAAAGAAGAAGTTTTAGTTTTAAAGCTGCAAAAGAGAAATGAAGAAGTTTAAGGGAGACTAAATATCCTAATGTTGTCATGCAATGTGGACATAAAGCTGGGATAAGAGGGTGATCTACCTAATATTATCATGCATGGATAGCAAACATAAGCTCTATTTAGTTCAATATTAAATAAAAATGAACTAAAGGTCCTATGGGGAGCATGCAATCTCTCAAGGAGAGAAGAAGAAGGAGAAGCAAGCAAACACTCAAATATTTAGACAAGATAGTGAAAGCAAGCAAACATCACAATTAAGAAATTACCAATATATCATATCATAAAGGTAAGGTGAGAGAATATATGACCATTAGACAATCACACATCACAAAGAGAAGTAAAGAATTACTCAAACATTAGGCACTTAGATAAGATACCTAAACAAATATACCTACTTAGATGAGTGGGTAATAAAGAAGCAACAAACATTAAACTTAATTAATTATGTTAATAAAAATTAATTAGAAAATCTAATTAATTTTTAATAATAAAATCAACTAACTAAATCAACATTTAATTAATTGTTAAAAAGCAACCAAGTGCAAAGATGGGATCAAATAACCGAAAAGAAGAAATTAAACAATTATTTAACTAAACAATATTAAATTTTAACTATTAATTAATTATTCACATATTTTTTTCTAAGTTAATTAAAACTAAACCAATTAATAAAGTTAACTAGTTAAAAAAAACAAACCATATTATTTGTTGATTGAATTTAAAACCTAAACTAAGAAAAACTTAAACAAAACAAACAAAATAAAAGGGGGTTTAATAAGAAAATAGGGGGGAGTGCTGATAAGAAATCCACTGGGCTTGGAGAAGTTATGATGGGGCAAGGCCCAATAATTTGTGATCACATTATTGTAGATAAGATGAGGGTGAGTGGAGTTAATTGGGGTGCTGGCCCCTGGATAGATGGGCTCAGGTTTGTTTATTGAAGCTGAGGCCCAAAATCAATTATACAAAAAAAACCCTAATTGAACAGTTGGTGCCTCTTTCTATTCATGCTTCATCTCATCGTTTTATACTTTCCTATGTTCCAAACCTCTTCAAATGCTTCTTCTCCAAAGCAACAACAAATACTCTTTGCTCTCTAAAGCTTCCTTCATTCTCGTTTTCAACTATCACACTTCATCTATTTATCCCACAAATTCCTTCACTCAAAACAAAAACTACAACAGTAAAAACTTCGTTCCTCTATCTCTTCATTTCAGAATCTCTCTATGTTTTTCTCTTGGTTTACTCACTCTCTTTCACAATCGATCAAACAAGAAAAAACTAAAGAATTGCACTTGCAGGTTGTTATAAAGAATTGGGGGAAGCTTTATCTTGACAGTATAACATTCTTCTCTTCGACTGTGTGAAATGAAATATTGAGAGGGGGATTTTGAAATTGCAAGAGGTAGTTTTGAATTTTGGAGCTGAAATTTTTGGTTGAGCTTGGAGGGGAAATTGCTTCGACCCATGCCCTTTCTTGTGGGAAATTATTGGCGTTTGATGACGCATGAATGAACGGTTTAAATCAGTTTGTAATTTTTGAATCTGAGATGAGATCTCAAGGATAGTGATCCGTGTGAATTACTTAGGAGCATTATTGACTTTTGATAGTTTGTAAATGAACGACTCAGATGAATTGTTGATGAAGTTTTGAACTTAAAGTTTGGAATTTGATTTTGATTCTTGAACTCTCTTGATGTAAACAGTGAATTGATTTCATGTGAACGCCAAATCTTTCATTTTTTATTTTCACCTATTTTGACATAAAAAACAATATAATAATAATAGTAATAAGAAGAAAAATAAAATTGGTGAGTAAAATGAAGTAACGCCATTGGTTGATGATATCGGGAATGGACTTATAGATGTCATTTGGAGAAAATGAAAGTGAGTAGTCGGAGATGGTCTTTTATATGACATCCAAAATAAATGTTGACTTCTAACTGGAAGAAACATTGGAATAAATCTTTGGTCAATTTACTTTGAGCCAGAAGAGGTCTCTTTATGGGGAATCCTATTTTTGTTGTTTAAGAAGGTCTTCGCTGGGGAATGTTGATTTTTTGTTTGGGGAATAGAGTCTAGGAGCTTTAGTTATCCATTACTCTACCGGGGAGTTATATCTTGACTGGGAAGATGAAAGTTAGCCGTTATCTGGTCAAAATCCAGGCTTTGTGGTAACTCAAACTGTTATCTGGTCAGAATCCAGGCTTCAGCAACTTGAACTGTTATCTGGTCAGGTCCAGGATTTAGTGATTTGAAGAAATTAAGCTATTATCTAGTCGGATCTATGCTTCAACTTGAATTTGAGGTATACTGTTATTTGGTCGGGTCCAGGTTTCACAGTGTTGTAGATCATACTGTCATCGGGTCAGGTCCAGGCTTCATAGTAATTAACAGGGTAAACTGCTACCTGGTCGGACTCTAGGATTCGTAGTAATTTGACAGAGTAAATTTCTATCTGGTTGGACTCCAGGCTTCACAACATCTCATACTGTTATCTGGTTGGATTCCAGGCTTCAGTGTCTTGAGTTGTTGGTTGACTGTTATCTTATTGGATTTATGGCTTCAACAATGATGTTAACTTCTATCTGGTCGAGTCCAGGCTTCACAGTATTGATGAAGTTTGACTATTATCTGATCGAATTTCGGGCTTCAACAATGATGTTGACTGCTATCTGGTCGGGTCCAGGCTTCACAATGTTGTAAACTTCTATCTGGTCAGATTTCAGGGTTCACAATGTTTTAGATGACATTATCCTGCTATCTGGTCGGGTCCAGGCTTCATATTAATTAGAGAAATTTAATTTCTATCTGGTCGGACTCCAGGCTTTGCAATAATTTTAAAATGTTATCTGGTCGGATTCCAGGCTTCATAGTAAATTGTATTTGATGTTAACTGCTATCTGGTCGGGTCTAGGCTTCACAGTGATTAATGAGCTGTTACTTCATATAGTTTCCCTGTCTTGTCCCAGTAATTAATCAGGGACTATTGAAATTTTTTGATGATATTGGTCTGCTGATCTTTCCTGAAAAGGTAAAGAGTTCGTTGTATGTAATGTCATGATGCATGAAATACATTGGGTAATGATATTCTCAAAATATATGAGATTATTCCATATGCATTTTTGTATGCATATGCTATGACGTTTATAGAATGATGTATGAATGTAATGTGTGAACGTATCAGTTGTTCCTTGTAGTGTCGTTGAACTGGGGAAGATAAATCACTGACTGCTGTTGGGGATGAAGAATGTGATTCTTCATTATTTGTTGAAGACGAATTTCCGTTGCTAGAGAAATAAACTCTATTAGGGAAAGAAAAACTTCGCAACCTGCTTGGGGATTTTTATGAAGCCCTGTTGGGGAACCCAAGAAGTTTATGAACCATGCTGAGGAATTCTTCAAGATGTTGGGGAGATGATTGGAGACTCTTGCTCTGTAGGGGATATCGGAACCTCTGACATCATTAGGCTATATGTTGAGGATATGGTAGTTACTTCGTAGGAGGACGTCTCTGTATCTATTGTGGGATGTATCTGCGGGGATTTGCAGATGGCTTTTTAGACATTGTCCCATTTCTTGAAGACATTAGTAACTGTCTTTATGTTTTTTATGCGTGTATTTGTAAACGATGATCATATTCAAATGCATATGTTAAAAATAATCACTGGACGTTTTTGCAAAACAAAAAATAAAAACAAATACTTTTGTGCTTTCAAAGAGATAGCTTTTGTATTAATCTGAAGAAGTCTACCTATAACAAGCGTTTTTGTACAAGGAGACAGACATACTAATAAGAGAATGTCGTCATAATAATTAAAACTATATAAAGTATTATACAAAGAAAAACATCTATATGAAATGATCCCATTGGGTTCCCATTCTGCTATTGCCTTTATATCTTTGAGCGTCTCATCACTTTGCTGCTTGGCTGAAGCTGACTGGATTGATTAGTACCATTTGAACTTGACAGTTGACACTGAAGGTTGGCTGTAAGGTGATCCAATGGGACATAGTTGTACGCTTTAATCCCTAATTTTTTCCTGGACCTCCCTTTCGGGTTTTCAGTCCACCGGGATACCCTTTTTTACCCAAGCCACCTTTTCATGTTTTCGACTTGCCGGGTCTATAAATTTTTTCATGTATATCCCTAATTTTTCCCGAACCCTTTTGGTTCACCGGGATGCCCTTATTATTTCCTAGGCCAGTCAACCTAGCGGGTCTTTGTTCATGCGTAGTATATTTTAACTATGTCCGTGTTTACATGGTGCGGAAGGTAGTCACTGTCCATAGTGGTTAAAATCATAGCTCCACAAAAAAATACGTTCTTGATCACAAATGGTCCTTTGCATATAGGAGTCGATTTTCCCCTAGGATCACCTTGCGGCTGGATGATGCGCTTGATTACTAGGTCATACACTTGATATACTCGACGTCTGGCCTTCTTATTAAAAGATTTAATCATACGTTTTTGGTACACCTGACCATGACAAACAGCAGCCAGCCTTTTCTCGTCAATCACATTCAATTGGTCAAGTCGAGTCTGAACCCATTCGTCTTCGTTCAAACCTGCATCATTCATGATTCTCAAGGAAGGGATCTGGATTTCTATGGGTAAAACAACCTCCACACTATATACTAGAGAGAAATGAGTTGCCCCTATTGACGTGTGTATTGAGGTACGGTAACCATGAAGAGAAAATGGTAACATCTTGTGCTAGTATTTATATGTCACTGTCATCTTCTGTATAATCTTTTTGATATTCTTATTGGCAGCCTCCACAGTGCCATTCAACTTTGGTCGGTAAGGAGAAGAGTTATGATGTTGGATTTTAAACTGCGTATAAAGCTTGATGATCATAGTATTATTGAGGTTGGTACCGTTAATTGTGATAATTATTTCTGGGATACCATACCGACAAATAAGATTATGTCTGATGAACTGTGCCACGACGTTCTTAGTAACAGAAGCAAATGAAGCTGCCTCGATCCACTTTGTGAAGTAATCAATGGCGACAAGGATGAAACGATGTCCATTGGAAGCGTTAGGTCTAATATCTCCAATCATATCAATAACCCCCATTGCGAATGGCCAAGGAGCAGTTAATACATTTAGTGGAATCAGAGGCACATGGACTTTGTCAGCATAGATTTGGCATTTGTGACAAGTTCAGGAATGATGATGACAATCTGCTTCCATAGTCGACCAATAGTATCCTTCCCATAGGATCTTTTTAGCCACTGTATGCCCACTAGAATGGGTGCCAAAGGTACCATCGTGCATATCCTCCATAATTTTCTTTGCTTCTCTCTTATCCATACACTGCAGTAAGGTAGAATCATGGTTGCGCATGTAGAGAATTTTGTTACTCAGAAAAAACTTGGCAGAGAACCTTATTAAGAACTTTTTGTCATTAATGGGCGCTCCCTCAGGGTACTCTTGAGCTTCGAGATACCTTTTCACCTCGTGGAACCAAGGCTTTTCCTCTACTCCATCAGCATCAATCTCATAACAGTGGGCCGGTTCGTCTAACCTTTCAATAGTGATTTGAGGGGCTTCATTATCCCACCTGACCTTAAACATGGATGACATGGTGGCTAGCGCGTCCGCTAACTGATTTTCTTCTTGTGGAATATGTCCAAATGTAACTTTTTCAAAATATGGAATCAATGTAAACACATCATCTCGGTAAGGGATGCGATTAGGGTGCTTTGTGTCACATTCTCCCTTAATCTGACTGATTACTAAGGCTGAGTCTCCATATACATGTAAGAACTTGATCCTCATGTCAATAGCAGCTTTAAGACCCATGATGCACGCTTCATATTCGACCATATTGTTGGTACAATTGAAGCATAATTTGGTTGTGAAGGGTATATGACATCCTTCGGGAGAGATAATCATAACACCGATGCCATTTCCAAGGGCGTTGGAAGCTTTGTCAAAGACTATAGTCCATCGAGATCCTTTTTCAGGTCCTTCATCCAGTCCAGGTTCTTCACAATCAGTTACTAACATAATGTTCTCGTCCAGGAACTCAAAATTCATTGACTGGTAGTCGTCTACAGCCAGATGAGCCAGATGATTAGCTAGTACACTTCCTTTGATTGCTTTTTGAGTAGTGTACTGGATGTCATATTCAGTTAGGACCACCTGCCATCTTGCTATTATTCTAGAGAGAGCGGGCTTCTCAAACATGTACTTGATAGGATCCATTTTAGATGTCAATAAGGTAGTGTGAGTCAACATACACTATCTTAGTCAGCGAGCAGCCCATGCCAAAG